CACACCAGCCCCTGACACTCCCTCTCACACCAGCCCCTGACACTCCCCCCTCACACCAGCCCCTGGAGCTCAAGCCTTCCCTGCACGCTCCTGAGTAGCCACAGTAACAGCATGTCACACTTGGCGTACTTATGGGCCAAGTGAAGTCGGAATCCTCGCCCTGACAAGGCCCCACCTTTTCCCAAGCCTTCCTTTTATGAATCTTTTTGCCTCTGTCTACGCCTTCCATTCTGATCTACCATTATCAACGCTCAATCTTCACACTTCTCTCGCACTTGAAATAAACCGTTATTTTGCAAGTACCCACGCCCCTTCCCTATCTGGCCCTGCTCAAGTTCCCCCTTGTAGACTGGACATTGAGAGTTGGTGCCCCCCCCCCACCCCAGGGCTGCCAAGGAGACCTGGCTGTTACTCCACACTTCAGCCTCGTCAGCTCTGGAGGCTGAGGCTGCTGTGCACCTCTCAAGGCCCTGCGGTGAGCTGGGGAACTAGAGCAGCCACAAGACGGCAGGCGTGTCCTGAGTGTTACCTGACCTTAGCAACCTATGTAAACTCTGCGATTTGTGATCCATCCTGAGACACTAGTTAAAATGAGAAATGGGTGGCTGGCTGTCTTGAGGCCTGGCTTTTAAAAAGAGAGAGAGAGAGAGAGAGTGTGTGTGTGTGTGTGTGTGCGCGTGCACACACACACACACACACACACACGAGGGCACTGTGAGCTCAGAGGCCAGAGGAGGCCTTGGGTCCTTTGGAGTGGACTGGCAGGTGTTTTGCTGGCCAGGCAGCCTATTTCAAGTGCGTACTGACATCTTAAATTCTGGACCATTTCTCCAGGCCCTCAAGACCTGAGTCTTAAAACAAGATCTGTCCATACTAAAAAGAGAAGTTTGTACAGCCAACAAGACCCTCAGGCTAGAAGAAAGTCGTTAGTCAACGGACGACCTCAGCTATTCGTAATTGGTTCTAAGCCCCGGGCAATGGGACCAGAAATTTAGTGCCCTCACCTCAGCAGCTGGTGCCCTAAGTGAATAAACATGAAGATCTCATGTGAAGGCCTGACGATGCAAAGGCCAGACGGGAACAAGAGGCTGTTTCATCCACCGAGAGAACCTCATCTTTACCACCCCCCACCAAGCTCAGTTCTCATAACTGAGCCTGCCAGCCATCACCAGCCAGGCTGGTCACCTTCACAGGGGCCTCATTCTCTCTTCTCTCCTGCCAAAGCCCTGATCCTGGGAAGGTGGAGGGTGGAGGCTGAAGACAGCACCTCCAGTGGAGCCCTCCCTGCTGGCGTCCCAAATCTTGGGGTGTGGATATGCTCTCGGCTTGCCTGTACCTGCAGTGACAGGAGGCCCCTTGAGCCCTCTACAGCAGCAAAACTTCTGTTGGGAGGAGCTGTCCCCCTGGGAAAATGCCCTTGTCCCTTCGAGTGACCAGGGTCTCATTTTACCAGCAAAGTCACCCAAAACTTCAAGGCTTAATTCCAGAGTCTCCTGATCACATGTCCTCCCCAGTCACCTTCAGCTATTGGCCAGCTAAAGCTGGAATCTGCAGAGAGCCTAGCTCAGACCCTCCCCGGTGTGAGGGTTTGTGCCTAGTCTTATCGTTGCTGGCTCTGCCCTGTTTGGTTGGTATACCCGGCAAACCTGCTCATCTTTTGAAGGGAACGAGAGGAGTGAATCGGGCTGGGGGGGAGCACTAGCAGAAGGAGGGGAGGAGGGGAAACTGCACTCAGGATGTAATATATGAGAAGAATTTTAAAATAAAACATAAAACATGGTGCTTTGGACAGTGGTGGCGCACGCCTTTAGTCTCAGCACTCAGGAGGCAGAGGCAGGAGATCTCTGCGAGTTTGAGGCCAGCCAGGTGTGCACAGTGAAACCCTGTCTCAAAAAAATAAATAAGTAAACAACCTGAAATATGCAAAAAGAAAAATTATTAGGGACCCTCAATCCTGCATGGTCCATCTGAGCTCTTGTCCCAGCAGACTCCCCACCCCCACCTCTCCCCACTGGGGTTCTCACCAGAAGAAATGTGAGAAATGAGGGCATAAGTAACAGAAAACCTGCATGAAGTTCCTTCACACGCCTTCACACGCCTTCACACCCCAGGGTAATCTCCACATTTACCGTCAATGGTCCCACCCTTCCATTCAAACCACTCCACAGCCTGGATGCTGGTTTAGGTCTCTGGAAACAGTGCCATTGAAAAATCGCGCTGAGGAGTGTGGTGAAGGCTGCCCACTGCCCTGCTTACTGATAACAAGGCCTCAGCTGCCTCAAAATGTGCGAGAGCGGCTTGTGAAAACAGAAATTAGAAGGCTGTGCAGGCCAAGACCAGGACCAGGGGCCGAGGCTGTCAAACCCTGAATTCAAAGCCAGGCTGGCTCTAATAGAGACTCCACTGAGAAATCAAAGAATCAAAAATTAGGGTTTGGGGGGGTATTGGTTTAAAGTTTAAAGCACAAGCCTCAACAAAGGCCAGCCAGGTGGAGAGATGTCCAGCCACCTGGACATCGGGGAAGAACTAGCCTTGCCACATTCTTTTCCTGCCCACTAGAGTTGCTAGGAAACTGGCCCAGATGGCCAGGCCAGAACCGTTTATGGACTTGGCACCTAAAGTAAACCAATCATTTCAAAAGCCAATTTCCCTCACCCAATCATGTAACGCCACGGCATGTAATCTGCCACTTGTGGTTTTTCCCTTTAAAAACCCTGTTCCCCTAGACAGCCCCCTGCACTCCTCCTCTTCACCAGGGAGGTTGCTGCGACCCGGGCTTGAGCTTGTATTAAATAAACCCTCATGTATTTGCAGCAGAGTCAATTCCTGGTGGTCTTGGGGTCTCACGAACTGGGCATAATGCCATCAGGGCAGGGTGGTGATGAGAACCAGCACTCCATGGGATCTGCAAACACAAATGATTACAGAGAAGCCAGTCTTCTGGAGAATTTTAGACAGTCACTCGAAGAGGTCAGTTTCTGCTCAAGAAGCACCTTCCCTGCCCCACCCTTGCATATTCCTCAGGTATCCCCACCCTTAGGAATTCCTCACGTATTCCTCAGCCCCAGACTTCCTGCTGCCCTTTCTTACACTGTCCTTTCTTTGCCTCCATATTCTCTCTCTCTATATATATATCTGTATATAAAGATACAGACACAAAGATAGATATAGACACAAATGTAGATTATATCAATAGTATAGATACAGATGATATACATATATAGATTATAGAGCTGATATAGATACAGACTATATAGATACATAGATATAGATAGTATAGATGAGAAAGATGAATGATAATGATAAAGAGAGAGAGAGAGAGATAGATGATGGATGGATAGATAGATGATAGAGAGAGATAGATGATAGATAGAGAGATAGACGATGAATGGATGGATGAATAGAAAGGTAGATAGAAAGACTGGCTGGCTGGCTGGATGGCTGGATGGGTGGATGGATGGATAGATAAAGGGATAGATGGATAGATAGATACATAGATAGATAGATAGATAGATAGATAGATAGATAGATAGATAGATAGATAGATAGATGGATGGATGAGTGGGTGGATGGATGGATGGATGGATGGATGGATAGATGGGTGGATGGATGGATTGATGGATGGATGGATAGATGGGTGGTGGATGGATGGATGGGTGGTGGATGGATGGGTGGTGGATGGATGGGTGGGTGGATGGATGGATTGATGGATGGATGGATAGATGGGTGGTAGATGGATGGATGAATGGATGATGGATGGATGGATGGATAGATGAGTGGATGGATGAATGGATGGATGGATGGGTGGGTGGATGAATGGTGATGGATGGATGGATAGATGGGTGGTGGATGGATGGATGGATGGATGGATGGATGGATGGATAGATGGGTGGTGGATGGATGGATAGATGGATGGGTGGTGGATGGATGGGTGGATGGATGGATGATGGATGGATGGGTGGGTGGGTGGGTGGATGGATGGATGGATAGATGGGTGGTGGATGGATGGGGGAGGATAGGTGGACGGATGGCTCTAGATCTAGCTGTATTCCCAGTTGACAGTCCCAGAGTCAGAGTCCGGAACACCCTAGGCAACAAGCATCCCACCACTGAGTCATGCAGCCCACAACACTTATGTGCCAGCTTCATCTCCCTGTTGCAACTGTAGCCGCCTGTGACTTTCTGTTTGTGTTTTCTCTTTACCCTTCCCTGCTCAACCTGCCCCTCTGCTAACTCCTCCATGACTCCAAAACCCCCAACACTGATTAAACTCTTTCACACAGCTTATCCACAACCTTACCTCCAATGATGGCTAATCTTGGTGGTCAGCCTGACATTCCGGGAAGAGGGAGGCTCAGTTGAGGCCTCCATCAGATTAGCTGTGACCGTTGTTGCTGCTGCTGCTGCTGCTGTTGCTGGCTGGTGTAGGTGGGCCAGCCCACAGGGAGGGGTGCCAGGCCATGGGGAGCGGTTCCAGCTCACGGGGAGGATACCAGCCTCAGGCAGGTGGGTCTGGGCTACATAAGAAAGGCAGCTGAACACTAGCCTCAGAGCAAGACAGTAAAGCAGCCTTCCTCTCAAACTGCTCTTCAGCTCTGCCTTGAGCTCCCGCCTTGGCGTTCCTTGTGAGGGACCATCAGCTATGAGCTGATCTTGGTCAGTTTCCTCACAGCAATGGAAAGCAGTCTAGCGCTCCTCCGTTTGGTGGGCGTGTATGCCTGCCCATTAGATGCAGACCTCTGAAGGGGCCATTGTCTCACCTCCAAACAGCTGCTACTGTAGGCTTCCGCCCTCACATTCTTCTTGAAACACCCACATCCAGAACACTGTGTTTAAACACCCCTGTCCCTCTGACTGTGTCTCTTTAATGGTCTTACTGGTGGTCTTTTTCTTTTCTTTTTTAGGACAGACTAAAACAACGCCTGGCACCCACATGGCGGCTCACAACTATCTGTAACTCCAGCTCCAGGTGACCTGGCCTCACATGGTGTGAAGACATACATGCAGACAAAGCCTCCATACACATAATAAACTAAAATAAAAAACAGCCCTTCGTGGCCTCCTGGCATCTATCACGGTTCTTGCTTCTCCCAAGGGCACTTACAGTCACAGAAAGGAGCTGCTATTGACCAGTCTTTAAAGTCTGTGCCGTTACTATAATAATAGGATTCACAGGGGCTGAAGAGAGACGGCTCGGTGGTTAAGATCAGCGCCCGCGGAGGCCGGGCCCTTGGTTTTCACCTACAAGTCAGCTTGCGACAAACCTGAGGGCCTTCAAAGTTCCTTTCCAGAAAGCAAGAAGGCTTGAGCTGTTCTCTGTCAAGAGACTGCGGAGAAAAGGTAAAAGCGTTTGGCAAGGAGCCAAGGCTGCGGTGGCCCCAGGGGGAGGGCGTGGCCCCCAAGGAGTGTGTCAGGAGGAGGGCGCAGGCTCCCGGGAGATATAGTGCTCCGAGGAATAGGGCGCGGTTTCTGAGGACGGAGGACCAACGTGGGGAGCGGCCTCCAGGGGCCATGCCCCCAGCGAGAAGCTAGCATCCATCCGTCCCCTCTAGGACGCTGCGACCTTAGACCCTACAGTGACTGCTCCATAAGCAGCACCCGCTTTCCTGGTCTTGGGGTTCCCCCTCCCCCTCCCACAGCTTCTCCTGGCACCGCCCCACCCCGGCAGCCCCTTCAGTCCTGCCATGGGAACCAGCGTGCTCTCCTTACTGTGGAGATTTTCACGTTGCTCTCCCGCACCCCTGACGTCTCCCCTATTGTGTAGAAGACTTGGACCGAGGGCTGGCATTGGTCCAGTGTTAGAGCTGGAACCCAGCAGGCTGGAGTGGGGGGGGGGGGTCCGTCCCAAGTGGCGCACAGATCACAGCTCATTTCAAACACGTCAGTGGAATCAAGATCCAGGCAGAGCAGCTTTGCTTTTCTTAAGGAAGCGCTTTGGCCTTCCGCTACTGTTAGCTTGTTTTGAAGCACACACAGGCTGTCATGGGAAGAAGGAAAGCCCCACGTTCATTCTTCTGAAACGTCCTCCTGACGCCCGAGTCAGAGATTACTAAGTCGTGCAGTAGTGAGAGAATCGTGAGGTTTTCCAGAGTTGCTGTTCTAACTGGCAAAGAAAGCTTTTAGACAGGTCTCTTAATCCTAGAGAACAAAGCATCTTCAGCTGGAGGCATTTTTTACAGTTTGACCAGATTTCCTCCATTTACATCTTTTAAGTGATTGGTAAAATGAAAGTTTTGAGAACTCAGATTAGCTTGCCAATTGCTATCATTACACTTTTTGCCAAATCCTGCCCAGGTAGAAAGCGAGAACAACCCAGACACTCTGTAATCTTTGCCAACATTTTATTTAAAACAACCAGGTCCAAGCTCTTTTTCTATCATCAGTCCAAAAACATCTTTTGTTGTTGTTGTTGCTGTCAGACTCTAGCAAGGTTTGAAATCTATTTCATTCATAAAGGCGTGTTGTTACCCTTTCCCGTGATACCTAACGGGGAAGGAAAAGAAGAAAAGATGAGCGAAAAGCAATTCTCTAAGTAAAAAGCGACACCCACAGCAAACAAGGAAAATGGCTCTGGGAGGAGGGTCCCAGCGGGCAGAGGATGGGGGGCCAGGACTGCGAGCAAGGGCCGTGGCTGCTCATATGGCCACGCTGTTCTCCACCAGGCTGGGCCGCAGGTACTCATAGGGTATGTCCAGGCTCTTATTGCGGATCTCAATTTCCTTATCCAGGGCAGCCAGCTCCTCTCTGAACTTCTTCAGCACAGCTTTGGCCTCGGGGTTTGTGAAGTGCTCCTCTGAGTGCTGGCCCAGGGGCACCTGGAGGGCAGGCGGGAAAGCAGCTCAGCCTGTGACCCTGACCACTGGGGGGACACGGCTTCCTCCCTGGACCCCGAATGATCGACTCTCACCATAACAGCCTGGCGTCTGCCCAGAAGCCAGACGATGTTTATCTGGAGAGTAGACTGGTTGGGGTTGGGCAGCGTGGCCATGAGCTTCTCCATTGTGGCACCCTTGGTGGTGGGCGGTGGCAGCCGCATGGTGCAGGGCGCGTTGGGGACCCAGTAGAACCAATCCAGCTGGAGAGACAGCCATCTAGGTCAGGGCCGGCTGACCTGAAGGCCCGGCCCCGAGCTCACGCGCCCCCGCCCCGGCTGCGGTCCCCTCCCCGGAGGCACCTGGCCTAGATGGATGGAGGAGTGCTGGCCCGTGCAGGTGAAGATGCACATGGCGATGAAGTGGCCAGCCTGAGCCCGGGACTGCAGAGAGGTGGGGAACCCTGCGGGAGGGGATGGTCAGCTGCGGTCCGCCAGGCCTCCGGAAGTGAGGCCTGGAGAGGACAAGGGCAGGACAGAAGGGTGGCCAAGGGACTCTCAAGAGCTGTGCAAGCAGGCGTGAGAGAGGGTGAGGTGAGGGGAGAGAGAGCCCTGCCTCCTGCATCGTACCCCCTCCCCAAGGCTTGGGATGGTGTGAGAGAGGGGACAGGTGTGGATGGAGTGAGAACAGTGTCTTCTGGGTGTGACAGGGCCAGTAGAGCCATGAGCTCACAGCAGCTGCGAGACAAAGCCAGTGAGCACTACAGAGCAGAGTGGGAAGGGACTCGCCCCTCGCTGAGGAGCTAGGGGCGGGTGGCCTCTGAGGGAGGGAAGTGTTCCCGGAGGGGGAGCTTCCCGCTGAACTTCCCTAACCACTGCTCTTACTGTCCCTGTGAGGGTTTTCATGGGAGATTCCACAGACACGCGGAGGGCCCTGGGAAGTCCCAGAACTGGGGTCTTAGTCCTCAGGCAGGGACTCCGTTACCTCTGTCCTGGGCCCCCTGCAGCCCGACCTCCGTGATCTCCCGACACCAGTTCTGCAGCTCGTAGTCCTCCCTCACCGCCTCGTCGCTCTTGTAGTAGAGATCCAGCATTCCCGCCACGTACCTGCCATCAGAGGTCAGGGGTCAGAGGTCAGCGCAAGAGCCAGAGCACCCACCCCCAGCCACGGCCCAGGCCTCCTGCCCTCCTGCCCCCCTGGCCCCAGCTCCCACATGGGTCCTGCGGTCCCATGGGCCTCACCGCTCTGTGATTTCCCAGAGTCGCAGGGCATCCTTAGCGTAGAAGCAAGACTCGACATCCAGGAGACCCCGCTCAGCCAAGTCGTCCGGGGGACACAGTGAGCCGTAGGTCAGAAAGGCCCCCGCTTGCTTGAGAAGGTCCAGGTGGCCTCCTCCGCCTATGCTCATCCCCTGCGGGAGCGAGGACAAGCGGGCTGTCAGCTGCCCTGCGGCTGGGGACAGGGTGGCCGAGAGCCCGATGCTGCCCCTTACCATGTCAAAAATGCCACTGTCCGAGATCAGGTTATTCCTGGCCCTGACGTTAATTTCCATGGTGTAGAGCAGGTGAGGGACCAGGAGCTATGAGGAGAAGACAGGCGTGGGCAAGTCAGAAGAGACCTGGGCCTCTGCAAGAGACAGGGCAGCGCAGCTCTGAGGGAAGGGATGGCCAGGCTCTGAGGGAAGGGATGACCAGGCTCTGAGGGAAGGGATGACCAGGCTCTGAGGGAAGGGATGGCCAGGCTCTGAGGGAAGGGATGGC